GGAACTCATGGCAGATCCATTAAGTAGCCAGGAGAAAGGACGGTCAGCTCAGATATTTGCATTCTGGAAAGGAGTGATTCAGCACAGCTTGCAATAATAGGCCCATCCCAGTCCTTCTGCCTATTCGTTTCTGGAAGTGGGTGATTAGCGATAATTCGTGATTTCTACTCGATAATAGCACCATTATAAGGGTAAGGTTTTATCAAATGTTGTTTTTTTCTTCGGGAAAAGAGAAGAGAATTTTTTTTGTTTTAGAATGAGGGCAATTTTTTATTTAACACCAAATCGCTTTTGGAAGTTAGATGATTTTCAGATAGTAGATGTTGTATTCACATTAAAGGCCTGCAATGGGCGGGTTTTTAGCCAAGAAACCCGCCCACTCGTTTTTGGAAATTTATTTAACCCACCCGCTCGATACATAATTTTTTTTATAAAATTTCGCCCGCTATTTATCTATAAATTTTGTTTAACCCGCTCGTCTAATGCTTAAATTATTTTAAGGCTGGTTTGGCTCTTCATTCATTTATTTTCATGTATTTTTAATTAAACATATATAATATGAAATATTATGAAATAAAACTATTATTTTTAATGAAGTCTATTCTGCTCATTTCGCCTAAAAAATATTAAAAATACACCCACTACTCCCACCCATTGCTTTAAATTTTTTTAACCTACCCGCCACCCGCCCCACGTTGAAAATATTTTCCGACCACGCCCGTTCGAAATATAGACGGTCTGGGTAAAAACCCGCCCGATGCAGGTCTCTAATGTCACATAATGTAAATAATTTTTTTTTAAACAGTTGCATTAACTTCGAAAGAGCTATTTTGATTATTATTATTATTATATTGAAAAAGAAAATGTAAAAAGATCACTTTTTTTATTTATTCGTAAATTTGACGTTTAATTTATGTTATAGAAATAAAATAAGACAAAAAGAATATAGTTAAAAATTAATTATTTGGTATCGCCATCAAGAGCCGATACTATTAAATTGAAATATTGATGTTTTTAAATATTGAATTTCAATTTTCTTAATTATATCTGGAGAAGTCATATTACAATGGAGCGTTGTTTATTCTTTTTTTATTCGACTTATAAAAGTAGAAAATAATTTATATATTATGGAACAAAAAAAATATAATTGGGGGTGAGTGAGGTTTAGTAAAATGTAGCGAATGAGCCAACTGAATAAATTGATGAGGATAGAATGGCTTAGCCAATAAAGAATTGGTCACAATCTTTAAATTTAGACTCAACTTTGATGTATAGTTGTGTTGCCTCAAATCTATTGACGAATACCGAAATAAAATCGTTAAGTAATTGGCCACGAATTAATTTATAAACTATCTGTTCTTCAAAGTGGGGTCTAATATTTGCAGAAAATTCGTGGTTAACGAGTTAGTTTTCGGTTAAAAATTAAGCCTGACCTTTTTTAGCCTGTTCAGTTGGGCAAAGTTAAATGATTGAACAACACCACTATTCGTTCCTTTATAGTTTATATACTCTAACGCACAATGCTCGATATATCGAAATATTCTCGTCAACCCCTCCCCTTATTCAAATTTAAAATTCTCACCCTTTTCGGGAAAAAGATTTTGAAAAATTGCTCCTGAATCAAGTGAAAAAAAAAGATGTCATTTTACAATTTTTTTTTATATACCGTGATAATAAAAAAATGTTGTAATAAATTTTATGCTTTGATTGTTTTTTAAGAGATTAATTCTCTAATCTCCCATTTATTATAATTAACTAATGAGCGAAGATGAAAAAAAAAAATGTTTTTTTTAATGGCCTCGAGAAACTTTTCGTGATTTAAAAAAAATAAATATAAAATCAAAACCCAATATTTATTATCGGTGGGAAACGAACTTATAATTCTACAGAAAAAAAAGTAGTTTATCGGTATTTTATCAACCAAATTTTAATCTCGGGTTGAACCTTTTCGAACCCGGTCCGGATTTTTTTTTAAATGAGCACTAAATGAATACGAATTTAGGCGCCGATTAATCTAGATATAATTTATTTTAAAAGAGGAACATTTTTAAGCTCTATACTCGGGTTTATAATTTTTTTTTAATTGCGGCTCGGATACCCGAACCGGTCTTTGGTCCAGGCACGAGGTCTTTGGTAATTATAGTATTGCGCCGTACCATTTTAAGATAGTGTTGTTAAATTACCTAACTTTAGTCAACTACAAAACAGCGTAGCTATATTTATCCAATAATATTCGAATCAATTTTCAAGTTGAGACTCAATTTAGAGGCTTAATTCATATTTTAGGCTAAAAGCTTGACTAAACCACAATAGAGATGGTCAAAGTTAGGTAATTTAACAACGCTACACGCGATTTATAAAATGCCATAAGCGCAAACAACGCCATCTAGTCTTATATAAGATTTAATTTTTATTTTTTAATGTACATTTATTTTGTTTATATTATCGTGATCAGATTTCAAACCTATATAATTTTTTTTTTGAAAAAAAAATATCTATAAATCATAAAAAAAGGAGGGGGGGGGGTGTGACAAAACGAGATGATTATACATATTTAAATAGCTATAAAAAATGCTTTCAAATATTTTTAAACATATTTAATAACCCATTTATACATTTCTTATAAACTTTTTTTTAATGGCTTTGTATGGATTTGATGAATATCTATGATCGTGATTTTTAAACTATAAAATAATGTGACATAATAGGATTTTTCTTTCATTTTAATCACTTTTTTTTTAAAAGATAAATAAAAATATGAAAAGATTAAGTCATTTTTAAATAATAAAACATTTATGATATATATTTATTTTGTCGATAAAAATAGAAGATTTGTGTCAGGCATACATACACCTTCATCTTAACGCAATCTAATTATGATTGTTATAATATTGCATATTGTATGTAATATAATATTTATATTTTTTAATGATTATTTTGAATATAATTTATCTTCTTATATACGTATAAATAATTTATTTATTTATTTTTTTAAAAAAAATGCCTATTAGACTAAAAAAAAATTGATTTTTTAATTTTAAATATAATTTTACATTAATTTTTTGATATTTTTTTTAACTAATAAATAATTATTTAGATTATTTTTTTCAAAAAGAGTTTAAAGCTTTTATGTTTCTCTTTCCAACCATCATTAATCGTAATAGAAATTTTTTTTTGATAATTTTCAATTAGCTTAATTAATTATATTCATTTTATGAATAATTCAAATTAATCTTATTCCTCCACGTATCTTCAGGTAAAAATTATATATTTTTTTCTTTCTAGAAATAAATAATGAAATTGAAATATATATTTTTTCTAACCCTAAAACCTAAACTCTCATTATTATAATTAAAAAAATATATATTTATGAAATTGTAATAATAGTAAAACCTACCAATTTGGGTTCTCGTTAATTCGGATCAAAGATCTGCACACTCGCCGGGCCTTATTTTAATTTTTTTAAATATACCCAGGCCGGGCCTGAAATATTTTCTTTAAGAATATCCGGACCGGGCTGTATATTTTAAAACCAAAAATCGCCATTATTGGTTATAAAAATAATATAACATATTTTAAAAAAATCCGGGTCGGGCCTGAAAATTAAAAAACCCGGGCCGAGCTTTAAAATATAAACCCGGGTCGGGCCGTGCAAATGGTACTTCTGCAGACCTCCGATTCGGATACCCTGGATGGCGCTGAATCTAGAGCCGAGAATATGGCCCTGCTAATATATTTTTTTTCGGTCCTTACCCACCACGGCCCAAATATTAAACCCAAGAATCGCCCATATTTATTTTTTAAGCCCTAGTCTGGCCTGGCCCTATTTTTTTTATTAACAAAAAATATCAAATTAAATGCATTTTTTTAAAAGTTGAAACCCTTTCCCTACCTCTTGATCTAATTTGACATAGTTAACTTATACGTTATTTCTTTAAAACTATTACAAACACCTCATAATTTAATTTGCAATTATATTTAACAAATAACCTTAATGTTTTTTTGTTACGACATAGTTAACTTATACGTTATTTCTTTAAAGCTATTACAAACACCTCATAATTTAATTTGCAATCATATTTAACAACCTTAATGTTTTTTTGTTACGAGATTTTAACTTTTCGCCAATTATATCGATTTTGGTCTAATAATGTTTTTTTTTATGATATCAAATGGATTGCAAATGGAATCTGACAATGTTTATTATAATGTTAGAATTTCTATTCCTAATAAATATTATTTATTTTTGTATAACCCGAACCGAAGTTATTTTTAAAAAGTCTTCGGGCCGGGTTGGGATTTTCAGTTAATATATAGAATTATTTATTTTTTATTCAGAGTTTTATAGATGGTAAAAAAATTTTATTGTTAAATGATATAAATACAAGTTTCTTTTTGATTATTTTTTGAAGGGGAAAAAAATGTGTTAACAGAACAGAAGGTAGTATAGCGTGTTCAAATTGCGCGATTTTGATACTGCGTCGAATCGAAAATAATGATATTGTTCAAATTGGCGCCATTTTATCATTGCGTCAAATATATTGTTTAAAAAATCGCAAAATAAGTTTGCGATTTATCAAATTTTCCAACGTTTCTTTTTATATTTCTTTTGAATTACAATCTAAATCGCAAACTCTCATTTGTATATTATCGCATGGATTATCTACAAAATATAAGCTACACATTCAAATTTTGATTTGAAAATTATTCATAACCATTCAAATCATTTATATATAAAATAATAAATTTCTCACCTTTGCTTTTACTAATTAAAATAATAGTAATAAATAAGATTATTTCATTTCGTTTCCTTTAATAATTTTTTTTTTCAATTCAAAAAATTTTTTTTAATGCTATTAAAAAAAAAATTAATTTTGAAGAATTATTTTTTAACCTTCTGTTCAAATTTTTAAAGTAGAACAAATAAAAAAACTTATATCTATTTTTAAAAAAAATAATTATATAATGTGAATTATGTTATCTTTAATTTTAATCATTAGGAATATTATCAAAGACAAGTCGTTTCGCAGAACAATAAAATCACTTCTCTCATATTCCGGTGCCTGAGATACAACGAATTCGTGCTCAACGATTTTCCTAACTCCTCCTACTCTAACCAATTTCGCGGCGATAATTTACCCGAAAACGCGGACGAAAGTTATGATAATTCTGGGAATCGCGTTTTAAGCGCAAAATCAATCGACGAATCGGAAGATTTAATTAATGACGCTAACGACAATAGCGTATTGATCGGAGCTAAACGGTTAGAAAATAGGTGGAACAAAATTCGGTTACTATTCTTCGAGGTCATTTTGTTGCTGGAAAATAATTTGAAGGTATACATATACAGATTTTTTTTAGATTTTAATTTTCTTCTTTTTTTAGGTTTTGAAAAATTTTTTCACAAAAAAATAGTTTAAATTTATGTTGTTCAAGTAACTAGTTACATTTTTTTAAATGTAGAGGTACAAATAACTAGTTAATTTTTGTCTTTTAAAATATTTATATTTTTTTTATAAATTAAATAATTTATATTTAATTTATAATAGGGTTAGGGCTAGGAAATTTAATATAATTTATATTTAATAGAGGTCTGCAAAACCTCACATAACCTTAAAAAATTATGGTTTTGATGTTATATTATTTTAAAATTATGGTTCATTTTAGAAGTTATTTCACTTGTAAACATACTAAAAGGTATATTTTTAGGGGTAAAATTTGGGATTTTATTGGGTCAAGTTGGAAAACGTTCAGGGTCGGGTAAGAAATTTTTTTTAGGTCTCTGCTACTCACATCAAATGCTTCTGTAGAATTTTTTTCATCTATGGAAATTTATTTTTGTAGGAAACCCTAGCACGCTAACATAAATTTTAGAAAGTAGTTCATTGTAAAAGTCAAATAAAATTTTATTAAATCCAATTTTATTTTTGAAAATTAATATTATATTGTGACATTTTTATTTATATAATTTATTTTTCAGTGCAATTATATCTAAAAAAAATTTTTGTAATTTAAAAATTTCAAAACGCTTAAAATATAAAATTTTTTATTTTCTTTTGATTAAAAATTATAAATCTCAAAATTATATTTTATATAATTAAAAAAATTATATTAAATATGATGAGTATATATATAAATAATCTTTAAAGTAACTTACAATTCAACTAGTTACTTTTCAAGAGTACTTTTAACAATATTAGTTGTAAAAAAAAGTTTCTATTCTGCGATTAATCAAATCTTAAAATTTTAATTTCTTCCCCACCACAACAAACAACCATATATATATTATATAACGAAAACCTTTGAAATCATTCCTTTGAAATTAAAATGTAACAACGATTCACTTCGACTTAAAATTTGAGTGCGCCTTGTAAAAATAACATCTCTTTTTTTTTTCTTCTTCTACCTTTGCCTTTCAAATTATTTTAATAAATTTCAAAACGTTTACTTGTTTTTACTCTTTTTACAAAATTCTAGGGTCAAAAAAACTTGGCATCCCTCTACTTTAATAAAAATAATAAACTTTCTCTTTCGGATCCATATCAGTTTTTTTTTAAAAAAAATTGATTAATATTATATAACATGTCAAAATAAAAATTAACATGAATGGATCGTTAGATATCAAAATAAGAATAATTCACAATATTACGTTTCATTTCTACCAAATTACATTTTGTCACGAATTCATTCTTCCCCTCCTTTTCCGTCACCTTTTCCCTATAAAATAAATATAATATAAGAAAAAGCATAGGTTCAATAATATTTCCCTTATATTTTTTTTATAAATTATTTGCATATTTTTTTTTATAAGTACAGTTACAAGTGTACAATGCGATTTTATATTGAAAAAAATTTATTGATATGTTATTTACCATCCCTTAAATTATTATTATTAGAATTTGAAATCAATTCATTTTTACTTTAAATCAGATTTTATTGAATAACTATGGGTATCATCACCTTTATTATCTTCCATTACTTATAACCCTTCAATTAGAATTTTATTTCTAAATATCTATCATAAAATAAAAAAAGGATTGAATTTAGGGAATTCTTATACCTTAGGCAGAATATATAATTGCAAATTTTTATATTTAACTGCTCTACCTTTTAAGGAATACGAATAAGAATAATTATGTGTTTTTTATACAATAAAATAAATTTAAAATTAGTGTAGGATAATGCTTTGAAAGACCATTCATAGTGTTGTATAAATGGCGTGATCTGAGCGATTTTTAAAAACGGAAAACTTAATATTTTCTCCAGAAAAATTTTGCCTAAGCTGAGATTTCGCTAATAGACGTTCAAACTTATGTGCCACCTATGAGCCTAATCTTCAGACTTGTCTAATATTTTTCTGGATTAAAATTGAGTTACCGATTACGAATAAGAATAATTATGTGTTTTTTATACAATAAAATAAATTTAAAATTAGTGTAGGATAATGCTTTGAAAGACTTCATAGTGTTGTATAGGCTTGATCTGAGCTATTTTTAAAAATGGAAAACTTAATATTTTATCCAGAAAAATTTTGCCTAAGCTGAGATTTCGTTAATAGACGTTCAAACTTATGTGCCCACCTATGAGCCTAATCTACAGACTTGCCTAATATTTTTCTGGATTAAAATTGAGTTACCGATTTTTAAAAATCGGCTCAAATCGAGTAGTTTAACAACACTGCCTTTTACAACTCAATAAAGCCCCAAAAATATAGTTGGAGCTATATAAGAATGAATTTTTAAATTTTAAACAATCATTCTTTAATGTTAAAAAAAATATCTTTCAATCTCACTGAAAATGTTTTTTTTTATTTAACTAGATTTTTCACTTTTATTTTAAACATTCTATAGTTGTTTGCGATTTGAAATTAAAATTGATTGTCAAATTTTTCAATTTTTATTTATCATTCGAGTTGGAGTTCGGCCCCGGTCCCAACTGACCCATGAAAATTTTTTATAAGTTTTTCGGCTATATCTCAATGGGTGGAATTGATTGGCTGGAATTTTTTATTTTTGCACAATTATAATATTGACTTTTTTGGGGGTTGATTTTATCATGAATTACACCATATATTTTTATTGTTCTCTGTTCTTAGAGGATCTTTAAATGATATATATATATATAGTCAAATAAATATATAATTTATATAATTTAAAGAAAAGACAATTTTTATAATTTATATTTAATTGTTTTCGAATGCGTTGTAAAAAAAATTATATATTTTTTTTTAAAGCACCGTTTTTTGTATATAATTATTTAATTAAATTCGATGTTATTGACACTTGTGACGAAAAATAATAAGTACGCGTTAATAAAAAAAAATTAAATCGATTTATTGCTAAAAACTTTATACAAAAATGATTTTTTTTTTAAAAAAAAAGTAAAAATTATTTACAAATCGGTGACACGAATTTTTTTACTAACCGGGATGGATAATCGGTATCTGTTCAGTTCGGATTTGGAAGTTTTTCTAATGATTTTGAATTTTTTTAAAAATTTTTATAGGAATTCATTTGTTATTTTTATTTTAAATTGAATTCTATATTATATTCCACGTAATATTGGTAAGAAAAACAAACTTTTTTTGTTAAAATTAATATAATAAAGAATTAAGTCATTTTGTATTAATTATTAATCCTTATTATTAAAATGTAGAACTTTCTTTTATTATATAAATGAAATATCTATTAGTATATTTTTGAAAAATTTTATTTTATTTATCCTGACATTAATTTGTAATTTAAAAAAAAAAATTTACTAATAAAAATAATAGAAATTTGGACTTCAAACTTTTAAAACTTGTTTTAAAATTTTTTATAAGTTTTGCTTCTGCACTAGTTCGAATAATCGCTTAAAACGTTTCGTTCTGAAGATATGAACTTAATAAAATAATTTTATATTTAATTATAAGGTGTTTATGGTTCCTAAAAGGGGGTGATTTTTTAAAAATATTTATACCAGAGCTCAAAAGATCCCCTCCCCATTCCACTGACGTTGAGATCCCCTCTGGCTGATTAAATGAAACAATTTAATAATGAGTATTGACTATCTCCAGACTTCTCTATATCTCCTCTTTTTTTCAAACTTTAAATGATAAATGATTAAAGACAAAATATTTTTTATTCCTCCGATCTCCAAATGATTGATAAAGCCGCCAAAAGAAGACTTCCAGATATTGGCGGTTTCTTTTGATTTAAAATAATTATATATCTGAACTTTCGCCCATCCATGAGGTTCTTAAGTGGCAAATTTACCAGTATATATTTCGGGTAATAGATCTTGAACCGTTTTTTTGAAGAGACGCTCGAGACGTGGACTGGGGAAGCTCAAAGCTTAGATTGGCATTTTTCTGAAGTATTTCCATGTTACGTAGTATCTATGCAGTGTATATATATAAGTCAGGGTATGATTTGGACTAAGAATCCCATCCACGATTAATATATATTAAAAAAATTTCTTATCTTATCTCATTTTTAATAAAATTTGTGGGCTTTGTTTAGAAAATTACTATATATTGGCTGACGTCATATATTAATTACCCATATATTTTACTCAAACACTCCTACCTTTTCTTCAAAATAAAAGGATTGACATTTTTTTTTTATAAAAAATTTTAAAAACGTAAAATAATGGCTAAAGTCCGTCTGGTTAAACTCCCTTTTAAAAAAATCGATAAATTTATTATTTCTCGAAATTATAAAAATTGGTTCTTTTTTTTTATATTTTAAAATATAATTTTTAAAAAAAATTTTCAAATCTCAATTAAAACGAAATTATATTTATTTAGACAAGGAAGTCATTTTATTAATTTTGTGACCACAATATCGATTTTCGCGAATTCTCTCTCGCGTCCTACCTGTGTTTGTTTATTTCTTTTTATATTATTGAATATAATAGTTTATTTTGTTACGCTGGGGGGGGGGGGTTATTTATTGGTAAATTTCAGAGTTGTCACAAAAATGTGGTATCGGTATCTAGATACCTTTTTAAAGATACATTTGGATAAATATACCTTTATTTAACGCTTTTTTTTAAATATTAAAAACAAAAATATTTGAATTCATTTTATTTGATATGAGCATATAATTTAGATAAATATTTATTAAAAAATATTAAGACCAATATAATAAATATATATGTATAAAATTGGCTTATTATACAACGCTAACTGTATATGCAGAGTAAGTTGTTCAGTCAAATAATAGCACTTAAAAATTGGCATAAGTGTTTAGCGTTGTAATAAAATACAATGTTTGTTTTTGCGTGATTTACCAATTTCCGCATTTGTAATGCACTAAACCCGAACGCTTCAATTTGCAGGAGCTAGATGTCCTAATCAACTTCCTTAGTGGCGCTTTTAAAATGCTTTAAATTGTTAAAACAAATAGGAGATAAAATTACCACCTTTAACATTTAAGATTGCAGGCCTAAGAGTATTTTTAATTTTTCCCTGTAATATTTCTTTGAAAAGAATCAAGTTAGGATAGATGTATCTTAATGCAATAGTAGTAAAAAAAAATATCAAATTGAAACTTAATAATCCTAAATACAATTTACACTACCCTTCTTTTATTTACCCTGTCTTAGAGAAGAGGTTTATGTTTTAGTTTTACCTTTAAAAAAAGTAATTATCATTTTATGTTCAGAGTTCACACACTCAAAAGTCAAAATAACCCGCCGATTTTTGAAGGAAAAAAAAATAAATCGAAAGACAAACAATTTGATTGTACTGTCTTATTTTATTTTTATTTTTTAAAAATTACTGTATTTTTTGTTTTAAAATAATAAAATGTCTTTCAAATACGCGCAGAAACTAGGACACAAAAAAAACGATTATGTTTTTAAAATAAGATTCTGTTTTTTTCCCCTTGTTTATTTTAAAATATGATATTTCGAAATGAAATGGTTTTGACACACAATAAAACAAAAGTAGAGAAAAAGGTTTTCATTCCACATCCATGTTATCAAAATATAGCTATTTGTTTTTTTTGTATCTTTTTTTTCTTCTTCTATATTTCCATTCCTTAATAAAAATTTTTATCTTCTTATTTAAGATTTTTTAAAGTTTAAATCTTATCTCTCCCTTTCCACTAACCCCACCACCACAACCATTAACTTTATTAAAGTTTTTGATATTGATTTCTTTCTATATAAAATAAATAAACAAACAAAAATAACACTCTAAATTAAAAGATTATATTTTAGTAACTTAATACTCTCAATTTTAATCTTTTAACTAACTAACTTACACTCCATTTAGAAAAGTATATTAATTATTTAATTTATCTATCTAATTCCATTTTCAATATATATTTTTTTTCTTCTATATTTAAATACATAAAAAAAAGCTTATTAAAATAACGACACGAAATTTACTAAAAAAATTCCCTAAAATTTTTTTAAATAACTTTATAATAATCAAAAATCAATTTTTTTTTAATATAAAACTCTTTCATCGTAACCTCCGACCTTGTCCTTGTTGCTCTTTTCTTATTTTATTTTGTCAGTTTAATTAAATAATCTAGTTTTTTTTTTAAACTTTAATATTTTATTTTTTAAAAAACTAATTAATTCAGGTGATAATGAATTTTTAAGATACGTAAATCAATTGATATTTTTATATATACATTATTTTTTGTTTTTAAATTTTTACTTTACTCTTAATTTTTTTTTTTAAAAAATTTTTTTAATTTGAAGTTATAAAAAAATATATAGTATTTTTCTAGTGTTGATTAAACTGCTCAATATTAGGCGATTTTCAAAAATGACTAACTCAATATTTTACCCACAAAAATATCACGCAAGCCTGAAGATTTTCCTAATAGATGGCACAAAGATCTAGACATTATTATCGAAATCTCGAGGCTTAGTCAATATTTTTGTGGCTAAAATATATATTAAGCCATTTTTAAAAATCTGCTCAAACGAGCCGTTTAACAACATTAAATTTTTCTAATGCATCGATTTAATTCGCTGTTCTTTGGAATCTCCTTGGTGAAACTGGAAGTCATGGCTAGCTGCGCCCATTTCAAAGACCTGACTGAATCCTGGACCAATTTTAGCGAACCAGGCCTTCAAAATATCCCACCGGAATTCAAAAAAATAAAATATCAGGCTCATTATTTAGTTAAGTTCCCAAAAAGGAGCTATAATTAATTTTATAGAAGGTTTCTATAAAGATATTATTTGTCGGGAAATTTTTCTCAGCTCGTTTAAAATTGCCTTGATATTTATTTTTGCTTAGAAGTGTTAAAAATATACACTGGCGGAGAAATATAGAAAATACCTTCAAACTAAATTTTATATAACTTTTAAATACTCGTAATTATTACCATACATTTATTATTATGAAATATCTTTTATGTTTAAATATTTGATAAATATTCACAATTCAAATTACAAATATTTAAACCAATGACCGATGTCCTAACTCCGATTGCAAATACTGAATCAAAATGGTTCTAAAAATCTAACAGGTGAGCCTTTTCAATATCCCAACATCAGATTTTTGGATCTACTGACAGCGAGACAAATTTTTTTTACGCTTTCCTTAAAAATTACCTAGCCACGTATAAACGCATAAAAAAATCATACAATTAGTTGAATGTGTTCCAACAAATTTTTTTTGGTATTATTTAAGTTAATATCACAATATAAAAAGAAATGCGAAGGTCAATCTATCTATTGAGAAACTTTGTGCGAAAATTGTTTATAAACTTTTTAATAATAAAATAATCATCATATTTATCAAATTAAAATTCAAAAGTATTGATCTTTTTCTTTCTCGTATATATTATAATTATACTATTCTTTATCGATTTTACACATTATATTTATCTATTATAAATATTTTTATAAGTTTTTATTATTCAAACTTGTAAATTATTTTAAAATAATAAAAAAAAATTTTGCCAAAATATTAAAGCGATTTAGTAGAGCCATAATTATGATTTTATATTTTTGTTAAAAAAAAATATTTTTATTTTCATTTTGACCTTTAATTAAGTTTTTAAAAGACCGTAAACAAGTCCTTATTATTATAGGATTCCTCTAATAACTAATAATTGTAATAAGAAATTAAACCAATTTTTTTTATCATTACTTATCCATAAATATCAGAATTTATCATAATCGTATTCTCTTATAATTCAAAAAAATAAATAAAATAATTAAGATCCCTTCCCCAATTGCTTCTTCGCCCTCAAAGACACACGAAAATCTTGTCACATCTGAATATCCACTCGATAAAAACTTGAATTTCGTCCATAACGGATTTCTATCGACTACCGATCTTAGCAACACCGAAGACGATATTATACCTTTCTTCCCCGAAGAATACGAGAAAATTACTGATAACATTCCGTCTCATACCGAAATGAAAGTTGATAGAAGCGGATACAAGTCAAGGGACGACAAAGATGGGGTGGGTAACATTGATAGAGACAAAAACAACCATTCGATTGATACAAATGTGAACCGAAGGGGATACATTACTCCAAAAAAGAAGGAGAAAAACGACGGGGAAACAGAATACAAGTTAAAAGCTAGAGTGACATCCCCCTCTCCCAAAAAGGCTTACGATGATTCTGACGATAGTCAGGCCTTCGTCACTACTACCAGCACTACCACATTCACCAAAAACGTAACAACCTCCCGACAGACCACACGCTTATTACCCGTCGGTTATGACTATAAATACCGATCAAAACCCAGCGAATACCGATATTACACGGAACCGGTTTTGAATTATAGGTGCTCGACATATTTCCCTGATATTACCAGCACTTATCGTCGATATCAGAGCTATTATAACAACGACGATCCCGATTTTCAACCTAAAAATTACGGATTCGATCGCAAAAATTACAATTTTGAGCGACCAACTCATTATTCGCCCGCCGCATTTGATACTGATTCTTACGGTGAAGCGGATCTCTTCACGTCCCGCGTCCACGAACTTACTCATAGGTTAGAGGAGAGACGTGTCGAAGAAGAAAGTTGTCGGAGTCGTCTCAGGAAGTCTAACATCGAAGAGAAAAGGTACCACGATAATGACGCAAGTTCGTTCGAGAATTTGAAAATTGAAGGAAAGGAAACAACGGGGGGCAAGGTCTTCAGAGACATTAACAAAAACAGAAACTCGTACAAGAAGAGAAGGGGGAAGAGGCCACAACGTCTATCTTACTCGGATGACTGTCTGTCCCTCTCGTTGCCCCAAAAGATCGCCAGCCAATTACTCGAGCCTGCCTTGCGCCGAGATAAGGACAATTCCAAACGCCTCAATACTACCCCCCATATTTTTTCGCCCGATCACAACCGTAACCAAAAATGGGTTAATAAAGTTGACCATGAAAACTTAAACAATACAACCACCAGTTGTAACGATGAAAATATTTTTCCCAAACAGAACAGCATGACCAGTAAAACGACCAGCAAAGGAGGAGCCGGTTCCACCAATAATGACAAATGGTACGACCCCTCGCTTCTCACTACTATCAACAACTCCACCTCTTACCCACCCGCTTCATCTTCCTCCTCATCTCACCTTTCTTTCCAGCGTCACGATTTCACCATGTCTAACCCGGATTGGGTCGACAGCCATGACCAACTATCGGTATTGGCGACTAATACGAACAACCCCTGCCCCACCGGTGATTCGCCTGGTAAAAATATAAATATGATACTTTCCGACCACACTCATTCGTCGATCCCTGCCGCAGGTTTATCTTCATTATTTAAACCAAGCTCCTCTCACCTACATAGCGATAACAACAGTAGCGGAACAAGTTATTACGGAGGAAGAGATGATAAGTTTTACAGTTTTGAAGACGCCGCCGCTTCTCCTTATTACAGTTGCGGACGATTCGCGACTGACAAGAAGCAACGGCACTGCCGTCCACAGGATAGTGGTTCGCTGACTAGCACGAGCGAGTCCATGTGGGACCCTTACCAGGTTTTTTTATCTTATTTTAAATAAGAAAGGATGTTAATCTGCCTTATTATCAGCTATCAAAACATGTTTCAAAACTTCGACCCAGCCCATTAGGACTTTCGGAAGCCCGCGATATATATTATATTTTAATATATAATATACCATGTAGAGATTGCCCCATTGTATATCTATCCTTTTGTTAATATATAATTATAGGAATTGGTGATTTTATCAAAAGGGAGGGGGGAGCTTTAAATGGTCTATTAACTATACATCCTTATTATAAAATAATAGACCAACAATAGCCTTTACATAAATGAGTTAAACTAAATGAAATTAGGCATTTAAATATTAAAATGAAGTTACAATTTTGGGATTTAAAATTTTTTTTCTCAAATTTAATTGAATACCCGTTATATAATTCTCCTTTTTTTGAGCTATAATATATTTTGTCATGAATACTATAATATATAAGTAAGTTAAATAATGACCTCATCACGCTAGTGTTAAGTATTGCAAAACAATAAATAATTTCAAACTAGGCTCCCTTATATTCTCCGACCGACGAAGACGAACACCCTTCTGCTTTGAAAGATGCCACGAATAATGAGGTCGTCAACCCGAATTATCGTCAATCAATCGCGGTCGAAGGACTTCCACAAGGTTCCATAGATTATAACAACGAAGGGGACTATAGCGACGACAGCGGAAGGATATCATTCGATACTCCTAGAGATATTATTACTACCAGATTCATCCAAAATTTTTGCCAAAGAATCAAAGTTGGTCGAATAAAATAAAAAAAATGCCTTGTTTTTATTTGAAAATTTTGTGATAGTTTTTCTTTTTTGACTTGGTAGCGAAATAATGACAAACATTTTGTGAAATCTTATTTTCACCATTTTGTGAAATCATATTTCGCATGTTTTATTATTTTTGGGTTGAGAGGCAAAATCAAATTCATTTCGTTTAGTTTGAACTAAGCCATTGATTGAAAAAAAAGTTGTATAAACAAAGGAATGGGCACCGGGAATGCCAATAAGTGTTTTTAAACTTTTTGACACCATACAGGGATATCTATTGGATTATATTTTTCTTTTGAAAACATTTTTTAATTAATTTTGGTTTAATTTTATCTATTTTTTGAATAAATATCAGAGATTTGTAGAGTTAACCATATGCATGGCCCGTCCAAGATTTAATAAAAAATTCTCAGCTCGGCCCGGGGTTTTTTTAAAAATTTTCCGTCCGGATTTCTTTCAAAAATAAATTTCGCTTAGGGTATGGTAAATTCTTATCTACCTATTCGTCGTAAAATGAGTGAGTCTTAATCACCACGATTTCAAGTTGACGGATTGATGGTAATTCTCTTATTTCCTGTTCCTCTTGTGATTTTAAATAGTCTTTTATACAAATACCAATCAGCGCACGTTCTTTCCCTGGCAACGTACGTAATTGCCTGAATTTGGTACAGAGAAAAAGAGAGATAAACTCATACTCATCTAAAATAAAGTTTTCTCTTAAAAAGTGTATTATATTTTAAATATTGTGTGTATCTTTTTTTGCTTTTAATTTGATTGAATAGCACCTAATATATTGATAAGTCGAACAATTAATTTGAATAATATTTTACTAGATATATTTATAAGGGTCCAAAAAATGGAGATAGGAAATACGATAAGTGAATGAATGTGATATATTGTTCTGATGCACAATTTTTAATATATTTTATTTATTTTTAATTTTTGTGGACAATAAAATGCCAACTTTAACTCACATCAATTTGTTCTAATTTTATAAAAAATTTTGTAACTCATATAACAACCCTCCTTATTTCATGTTTACTTCTTAAAACCATATAGTTTTTTTTAGCCACGGTAGCCTTTCTTGCTTAGTGTCGTCATTTTTTAATTCTATAATTAGACTACGAGAAAACCTGTTTGAAAAAGGTAGGGATGTGGAAATAAAAATTATAGATTTAAATCAATTTCTAAATATTATAATAATTAAAATTCATTACTTACAATTCATGATATTTAACTACAAGCAAAATACTTGAAATTTAACTATTTTATTGAATAAATTGAAAAAAATTTTTAGTGTCGTTTCCTAAGCTTAGAATTTATTATAATATTAATTTTTTTTTCAACAATTTATTCGTTCTTATATTTGTAACACTTAATAATTCAAATTTTTTAAAGTGTGAATTTCACCAATAAAGAATAAGATTTTTTTATTAAAATATTTAATGGAAAAACTAATTTTCCAGCTTTTTCTAGTCCAAGGTGAAAACATTATATTACTAAATGTTTCTTATTTTGGTTTGGTATTTAATTATTAATACCAGGTGTGCCATTCAATTGTGATTTTTTTTGCAATACATTCAATGATTTTGTGATAGAAATTAGTATATTTAAAAGATGGTTTGAGGCTGACATTTATCACTTCTGGGATAAATAATTTTGTCGATATTTTTTTCAAATTTTACATAATATTCACTTATATCCTTGGATCTATTTGTGCGATCTGTCTATCCTCACTAGGATCCTTTAGAGCAGTAGCATTATTATTTATAAAATATTTAATATTTTGTCACTTTACACCTACATCAAAATCATTAGAAGTATATTAAGCAGAGAACTGCAGCCCGTGTACGTATTTTAATCAAAAAAATTTTTTTATAAATACCCGGCCAGGTCTTATATTTTAAAACCGAATATTTTGAATCGCCATAATTAGCTATAAAAATTATAAATAAGTAATATATTTAATAAAAATCAGAGTCGGGCCGAAAATTTTTATTTGCAAATGGTACCTCGCAGATCTCTGAATAAGTATATGCGCATTGTGTATTTCCAATATCAGAATTTGTAATAATACCATATTCCTTCATTATCCTTAATTATGCTTGTTTTTGTATTTATAAAAACCTATTTCTTTAAAGATATCAGATATGACTAAACAAATTTCTGCATAAATTACTACATTAAAAGCTTTGGTCATATAAAATATAAGGTTTTGTAGGAATAATTTGATTTTTTGAATTTTTATAAAAATAAATGATTTAAAATACACCCTGGAAAATGGATAATATGTGACTAAAAAAGCTTTATTTAATTTTCTCCCCATAAAATTAATCGCTCAGAACAAAACTCAATCTCAAAGATCTTCCTCGAACGCCGATTCAGCCCTGGCCGTCGTGTTCGATTCTGATAGTGATATCGAAGACCTAAAATCCCTTCTCGTTATCTCCAAAAAGGACCTCAAAAGAGCCCAAAATGCTTATCAAAAACTCAGTAATATCAAACTCTCTTCTATTATTATTATTGTTGATGGTAAATTCAACATATATCTCATATCTTTTAAAATTTAAAAGGCGGCAGTGATGGGAAACACCTCAATATTTCAGAAGTTCGGGATCGATTGGACGGTAGTTTTGAAGGGAACATTGGGAACAAATTGGAAGAAAGTAAGAGAGTTAAAGAGGTCATCGACGTCGCTACTAATAAAGCAAAATTAGACGATTTGGTGAGAACTTTCAATTTTTTTTTATCATTAATATAAATTTTTATTCTGCAAAAATATGTAAATAATATCTAGTGTTAATAAAAAAAAATTTAATCAAGCTCTTTCTAAGAAATCGCTTTGGATTTTATCACTTCTAGCAACAATTATTTACTATAAAAAATAATTAAATTTGTTTAAAATCTCCCCCCCCCCCAACACATCTTTCTCAAATATTAATTTTTGTTTTTTTTAGCCCAACCTGATATCTATATGCCGGACCCATATATATTTCCTCAAAACGGTGATCGAAAACATATACCCCGAGATGTCAGAAAATAGTCATCTTACATCTTCTTCCAAGAAGAAATCTTGCAAAAGATTAAATTTGCAGGACAAAAATAAGACCTTTTTGCTGCACGATAAATGGCAACAGCTGCATTACAAGCTTAACATCATGAAGGAGGGTGTCACTAAGGAAGGAATGGATATAATTAATAATTCCAGGAACGACGAGAGCTCTAATGCCGCTTACCAAATCGAATTTTCGGTGGATATTTATTAATACACATAATATTAAGACTATATCTTATTGAGAACTTTATTAATAATTCAATTTTATATTATATTTAACATTAAGGAAACATAAAGCTAGAAACTATCCTTGTGATATAATAATAATGTTATTTAAAGGATCTTATTTCACAAATCGTCGTTCCAAAATATTTTGCAATTTTATTGAAATTTTAAAAAAATAATGTAAATATCCATTCATTCAAAAGCGATTGCCGAACGCTCAACAAGCTATAAATAATCTATTGCGTCACAGCGGTGACGATGTTTTGTGTTCGCCGAATGGTCTTGTTGAGAGTACTAAGCATATAGGGATGGAAAGTTTTATGGAATCTAGCAACGATTTAATCAAAAAGTAAATAATTCGAACTCGAATAATTTTTTTCTGTTTTTTGGAAGCCTCATGATAAATTGAAATCCTTAGAATGGGTTAAAAGTTATGATTGGCATTCTTAGCTTTAAAATAGTTACATATTATTTTTTATCTTCAAAATTATTTAAAATAATTAAGCTTTTATCATAACAATCTTAGAAGGTTATTAGTTGCTGATTTTAATTTCAAGCAATCATTTTTTTTATTAATCAAGATTGACAGATCGCATTATCAACTTGCAATCGATTAAAGAGGATCTCACTCCCTCCAGGACCAGTCACAGTGATAGCTTGATTAATTTGATTCATAGAAGGTCTAACCCAAAAACCATTTCCACCAGGGATACAAACACCGATACCCATGATTTAATGTAATAATTAGAATATATTTTGTTTTATAGTTACCCCTTCCCCTTCGATCTCCATACATAGCAAACTTTCAAAATAATTTTAGGCCCAGTCCGGGGAAATATAAGTGCTCTAGGAATAAAAAGATTTTTGCCTCTTTTTTTTCAGAAAAAAATTATATTATTTTGAACGCCATTAAAATCTTTCTTTCGTTTATTTTATTTTTAGTGTTTTGTTTTGCTATTTTATTTTATAACAAACCTGGGTAAAAAATATATCTGATTACCTAATGATTATTTATTCAGTGCAGAAATAAAAAATTAGAAATTAAATATAACAAACCAGTTCCCCATGGACTACTTGTGTTTTCTCTCGCCTTTGAATTGCTGTAAATTTTAAAACAAACACTAATTCTATAATTATAATTTTTTTTTAATAATAAAAAAAAAAATTTTAATTACAAATATTGCCGATTAAATCATATTATCTTATCAGTGGCTCGTTGGTCTAGGGGTATGATTCTCGCTTTGGGTGCGAGAGGTCCCGGGTTCAAATCCCGGACGGGCCCAATTTTTTTAAATTTCGATTTTGTATTATTTGTTTGTTTTGGAAAAGGGAATGGTAGGTAAACAAACGTTGTTTTGTTTGCTTCTTTTTTTAAAAAAATATTACTCTATTTTCTACAATTGTCATGAAATTCTATTTAAAAATTAATTATATATTGATAAATCAGGCTAAAATTTAAAGCATTGCGATTTATATTAAATAAAATATAAGTAAATTCTTTAAATGAAACCGTCATTTACTAATCCTTTATGGCTTCCACCACCCAGGTAATGATATTTCTTGCCAGTTGCTACTATTATTAAATCATTGCATGAAAATTATTTTATATGCTGACTCCTGTATCAATTGAAAATAGAAACTTCATTACAATTCCCAATCATTCCAGTTTGCAATCGATGTCATTACTCATATTTTTTAAAATAGCTCTTCAGTAAATAGTTTAAAAATTGAGAGATTTCTCAATTATCGCAGGAGGATAAATTTTTTATTTTTCCTTTATATAATTTTCTATCCTACTTCAAATTAAATTTATATATATATTTGTTAATTGAAGAAGTCCCAGATCCTCGTTTCACAAATTGAATGACAAAAATTTTTGGAGATACTTTGCTTTCGCTATGCTAACCCTAGCGCTTCTCTCAGCCTATTTTTACGTCTTTCAGCCATCATGCTGCAACAATACGAACAATTTCAAAAGATCCCTCAATTTCGTGCTTAATTACCCCTACGGGAAACCTCCAACTTGAAAATCTTTCCAATTCCATTCTCTGGCCTCAGCCGGATATATGTTATATTTATCATTCATATTTTTCTTTTTTAAGAAGAAGCTATGTATTATATTAACTTAGAGCATCAATGTATTAAAATTCTTATTGTCCATTCTTTTTACATGGTAAATGTGAATCACAATATATTCCTACTTTTTTGATGATATATTTTGTTAACAAGCCTAAATATGTTGGTTAATAACCTTTACATGAACGTTAACTGGGTTTGCATTAAAATATTTCTATTTTTTTTATAAATTAAAAATTTTTTGGTATATATAGTTGTTAAAATAATCGAATAATCAGAGTATTATTTATATAAAATCCCAAATATGGCAACGTTACTAAATGATACATTTGTTACACCAATTGGATCATACATTTACTAGTAATAAAAGTATAATGACTTTTAAATCATTTTTCTCTTTATTTAAAAAATAAGAACTTGCTCATTCATTATACCTTATTATATCCATTTATATGTATTCAATTTTTTTTTAAAAAATATACATATTCCTAAAATTTATTGTGTATTTTAGCATTGTAATTCTGTGTACTTTAATTGATTATAAATTTTAAATCAATGTTTATTTTTTTGTAATAAGCAAAAAAAAATTCCAATTTAGTAACCATAAAAAACTACCTTTTAATTTTTTTATATTTTATTTAATTTTGTAAGTTTTAGTTTAGGAATAATATAATATTTTATAATCTTTTTTATTAAAATTTATTCTTCTTCAGTTAATTATCATTTTGGCGACCATATTATTAAATTTTCAGAATATAAGATACTCAATTATTTATTTATTTTTTTTACATTTTTTTTAACCAAAACCAGGAAAATTTAGAATTTTATCAAAAAAATATTTTTTAGATGTAAAAAACAATGTCTTAATCATCACTATATTTATTCATATATTTTTTTCTTAAAGATTTCTTATAAAATTGTCCCTCCTCATCCATCAATTTTTAAAGAGTTTATAGAAAGATAAAATTTATGATTTAATGATATTTTTGGACAGTATATTCTTTTTTGCACGAGCTCCCGTGTTTGTAATTTCTAAGGATTAGATGAATATAAATAAAATAAAATATTTTATCAATAATGAATAATGTTTTTTTTAAATGTATTTGATAAATATATTTTTGTTCTTTTAGTAGTCTTTTTTGAAATATACAAATATCAAATTTCAATAATAACAAAAAAATGAATAAATTTCACTTTATACCCCATTGATCCTTTTTACGTGATCCTTCAAAAAATTTGTAACGCAAGTACCTCTGGAAAGATATAATATTTGATGTCATATAGAATTTTGCAATTCGGGCTGAAGTTGGTCTCAAGTCCTAAAATTTTGGCCGGGCTCGAGCTTAAAAAATCTCTCTAAGTCTTCTGGACTGGGTTAATACTAGGAAATAATGTTTTTCCTTTCATTAAAATAAAGCGATAATTTTTTTTATTTATTTTTTACCTTTTTATTTTAATTTAAAACGATTAAAATTTAATATAAGATACCATATAAGCTATAAAAAAAGAATAAATATTTGATTTAAAAAAACGCGAGAAGGTGCCGGCATCGCCTACATATTTCCATGGATATTCGTTAACATTTATAAAAACCTGAGGATCATCAGAAATTAAGCGCATTTTTTGGCTGAATGTTTTGATGAAATCCTGGGCTCTGTATCCAAAATAAGAGACAAAGTGGATTAAAGTGATATTAGAAATGTTAATAGAGTTATTAATTTTTCTAATTCCCGCTCTAACCAAAGAATAGGAACGAACTAATTGGTGAATTACCTCCCTAAAAAAATTTCCGCCGCCTTTAGAGCCGATATTGCCACATTATTTATTCACCTTGTTAATTATAATGGTACTCTTTTCATAAATTTTAAAAATAAACTAAATTATTAATGATCTACGACCAACTATCAAAATATTGTGATTGTAAGTTATTTTTTAGAACATAAATTTAAGTATAAAAAAACAAACATTATTTTAGTATATTGTTTGGCATGAATGACTGCGGAGAATGTCTAACCCATTTAATTTCATTTAAAAGGAAGGCAGAAAGTTTTAATCATATAGAGTGATCGATGTTGAGCAACATATAATAGGTATATAATATGAATATTATTTTTTCAGCAATGCATTTTGCCCTATTTATTCTAATGATAGATACCCCCCCCCCCCCAATATATTCATCCTACCCCCTTAAATGCCTATCCCTTCAAAAAAATTCTTAGACCAATCCTATGTCTTGGAATTAAGAAAATGACAGAAGACATCAATGCTCAACGCAAGCTTAATTTAAGGTTTTGGTATATTGATGGAATAATAGCCGGCTGGCCCTACCTTGTTAATGCAATAGGCATGATAAGATCCTATGAAAACATAGGTCTAGGGAATAAATCTTTTGAGTGAATACTGAACAACAATGTTCATATTGAATTAAGGTTTAACCGAGATAAAAATATTTCAGACATCTACGGTCACTCTTAGGCGATGAAGACACCTTCACTACATTTATGCAAATACTTCAAAGGATCTAAAAATATATAAAATCTTACTGCATCTCCAGGCATATCAGTCTTTTTTCCTGCTAAAGTATTACCTTGTAATTCTAATAATTCTTCGGACCGAAGCAGGTGGAATAAAATAGGAATACCATCACTTTCCTTACTCTTCATCAGTATCTTCATATGTATCAAGTGACCAAACCATAGTAAATAACGACTTACCCAGATTCTCCATTCTTTCAGGCCATCGATCTTTACAGGTCCTCTTCCCTAGTCGATCTTTTTTCAACGTCATTTCAGAGAGATTAGGATTACTTTTGGTTAGCAACTCCTTTGCATTTCTTAAATCGAGAAGTCAACCTGTGGAACATTTTATTCTCTTTTTAAATTTATTGGGAAACTGTTATGAATTTCTTAGAGCCATCTCTTTAAGTGATCTTGATTTACTACTTACAAACAATAGGGCATGCAATCGGATTCAGATTTAATTGCGATATGATTATATCATACTTATGCTCACTTTGTTAGATTCTTGTTGACCAAAAGGTCGCCACTCCCTACATTGCAAACGATGTAGAGGTAGTTTTCTAAAATATACATAATGTAATGACACCATATTTCATGCCTTGAAATCTGTTGGAATTTCATACACTATTGAGTCGACACAGATGGCAAATATCCTGTTGATTTATCCAAGATTCTATTAAAGAGAGGTAAATGACTAACCAGGGATTTTCCTGTGTAGATCCACTCGCACCCTCCAACTTAAACCATTATGCATTTGCCTATGCAGAACGAAATAAATCTGCCAAACTATTCTGTTTTACCACCCAAACATTTATACTTATCAATAATTGCTACAACGCTAGCTTCTTTTGGCACTAACGCCTTATCCTTCTTCAATGATATAGACAAAGAATAGCAATTATAGCTAGTTCAATTTCAAATTAACCATTTTACCCTGTTGCTTAGCTATTTTATTCTGGGTAATGAGGTAAAATGACGAATAGTACACTTCACATTATTAATCACAACTTATGAAGTATAATCGGTAGAGAGCTACACCTTTTATTTATCTTGTAGATGAGGGATTTGGCTATATATAAATCTATAATTTGCTCATGTTTAAAATGTTATGGTAAAAAATGCAAAATACCAATCGTTTTATCTTGGTCTCTCCTATATAATAAATTAGTTTCATAAATTTAAAATCATTTTTATTGTATTCAAACAAATATATCAATTAAAATTATTTTTTTAAACACTTGATTAAATAAAATTAAAAGAGCAAAGGAATGAGAAGGAAGTAGCTGCTCTAGCTCCCAGGTTTTAAGAAATATCAGCGCTCCAGTTTCTTTTTTTGAAAAATGTAGCGGTACACTCTCTTTAACAACTCAGGTAATATTAAACAAGTATATTTAAAACCAGTAAGAAAATTAAATTTTTGGAAATAGGTTGATTTAGCTTATACCTAGAGGTTTTAGATCAATCCGAGTTTGAACTTAAAAAATCAACTTGTCTTGAAATTACGTACGAAATACTTTGGATTCGGCCTCGAATTATACCAATCAACAGAGACTGCCCTTTATAGTAGTTATTTGCCATGTTAAGTAGAAAGTAATTGAGATATGATAAGATACAGCCAAAATATAATTAAAAGCATTTATTTGAAGAAAAATTATTATGTCTCAATTATATAACACTAAAATTCGATTTATGGATTTTGTAAAATCAAATTTTAATTTGTGATTGCTTTAAGAAAAAATATTTATCTCGAGTTAACCCTTTCACATGTAAAAAAAAATATGCTGATAATTTTTTATACCTAAAAGGTTTATTTTTATATAATATAAATGAAACATAATTAAAATATTTTTTTTTAAAGTAAGTGGCATCAGTGGCGTAGCTACGGGGATGGTTTTCGGGTTTGGACCCCTCCCAGAGCTAAATCTTTTATCTAGATTATACGTTCAAAAGACTTAAAAGTGATTTTATATGAATTATATTTTTCTGGTTTTGATGTTTGTGGAAGGATATTATATTACTATTGAAATTATTCTGGATAGTATTATTATAAAGTAATTGAGAATAATCTACTAAATTATAATAACATATTATTGATGCATTTAAAAAATATATTTATTATATATTATAGAAGATATGGTTATGATTTGTAAGATTAACCCAGCCGAAGGCCGGGAAAAAGGGCCGAAGACCCGTCGCCAGGCTTTTATATATATGGACCCCCTCTAAGAAAAATTCCTAGCTACGCCACTGAGTGGCATTATGCCTAGACTGGTGTTTCATTCATGCATTTGAAGTGTCATTCAATACAAATCGGCTGGTAACACATATATACGCGCCCGCCCCGCCCATTTGTCTAAAATTCCTTACCCGCCCGCCCGCCCGCCCATTAGTCTAACAATTTTTACCCGCCCGCCCATTATTTATAAAAAAATTTAACCCAAGCCCGCTTATAAAATTTAATTATGGTCATTCTTTCATTTTTTTTAAGCATCCAATAAAAATATTTCAGCGTTATAATTCTACAAAAATTTTATAATTTAGGAAATTAGTATAAGTATAAAAATAATCAATGTAAAATTATGGACAATTTATTTGATCAAATTGAATATTTATAAAAAAATATATAAATGTAAAATTAATATTATATGTAATTAATAATGCAAAAATAATAATGAATCGACATTCTCTGGATTCAAACACGTTCTTCTTTGTTCTAAAAATCTTCCATCAATGCTAAATCCGCGTTCGGAAGAAGCACTAGTTGCAGGAATTGCCAATATTTTTTTTGCTAATCTTGATAGCTTTGGCAAAT